AATCGGAATACAATTTCCAGACCCTACTATGGCGAAAAAGTTTTTATCAAATCAGGAGAGTACACTTTTATAGAACAATTGATTAATGAGATAAAAACAAAACTCAAAGACAAAATTCATTTTGATGCGAGTCCTCAAGAAATCACGAATAGCATGAGCATTTGGATGAACGCAAATGAAGGAATCTCATTCCCAAGTCCCCAAATACCCAGTCTGTTAGGCTACAATGCAAAGCTTGATGAGAACGGTGAATATCACATTGGTTACAAAATGATACCCTCCTTCGATGCATCTTATGAGGGAAACGAACTGTACGAATCTCATTTCCCATATGACTTATCAAGTGGGACAAGTCTAATTTTTGTCTATATTGACATTATTCAATACCAAACTGTTGGTGATGCAAAGGCCCCATTGTTACGCGTCATTGATTCAAATAGACGCATCAAAAACGGTAGTGCCTGCAGCATTGAACCTAATCATCGAAAAAACTTCACTAATTTAGACTACAAAAAATTATTCACTTCATCTGTACAATCAATATCGGTACAGTTGCGCACAGAAACTGGAAGACTAGTGCCCTTTGCAGGAACTGGTAAAGTTGTGTTGACTCTAAAATTCAAGCGTTTTGATTGAAAACCAATGGAACAATATTATGCAAAGCAAGCTTCACTTCCTCATTTCTCTGGACACTACCGACAACGCGGCAGTGGATTTGGCGCTTTGGCTGCTGGTATTGGTCGTGTTGCTATACCGTTTGCACGACGGGTTATTCTACCGGCAGCGAAAAAACTGGGCAGAGAACTTTTGATGAGTGCAGCGCCAGAACTAATTGATGTCGCTATGAAAAAGAAGTCTCCTAAACAAGCATTGAAAAACACTGTCACAAAAACTGCAAGAAAACAACTCGGTGGTGGTAGACGACGTCGTCGAAAGACACCAATGAATGGATTACGAAGAAGAAGGTCAGTAGGGGCTCGAAAAAGAAAAACAACCATTCGAAGAAAAACCAGACCAGTGAGAAGTCGAGCAGATTTTTTCTCAAACATAAAAAATGATCGCTAATTTGTTACCCAATGAAGCTACCCATAGCTCTCTAGATTTGTTTGAAAAACAACCTCTTTTGATTACTTTTGAAAACGCTTTTGATCAAAAAATTGGACCTGTTTATTCACCTAATGGACCAATGCTTGAATTTGAAATCACCGGTGACCGTAATAATTTTGTTGACCTGCAAAAAATTTATTTGGAAATACGATGCAAAGTAACGCAATCAAGTGGAGCTGATCTGCGATACGACAACACTGATCCTACTGTGTCTGATTCACCGTTCCTCGTAAACAACTCCCTGTATTCCCTTTTCTCTGACTGTACCCTCTCTGCTAATGGACTCAAAATCTCAAATGCCAATAGTAATTTTGCGCATAAAAGCTTTATTGGAACAGAAGTTTCTAACAGCAAAGGAGCCAAGGACTCATGGCTTAAGTGTCAGGGATATCGTTTTGAAAACAATCCCGCTGCAATAGATGCAGCTGATTTCACATCTCAACGAGAACTGGTCCGTGAATCGAGGGAAATTTGGTTCTATGGACCCGCTGGAGTTGATTTTTTCACATGTGACAAGCATTTGTTGAGCGGTGTTACCCTCAGACTTTCCTACAGACGTTCTCATGAAGATTTTCTCATTATATCGGAAGATGCTGCCAAGCATTACAAGCTGCAAATACTCGAAGCGAACCTATATGTTAGAAAAATGACTGTGACCGACCATGTGCTCTCTGCCATTGAATCAACTTTGCTCAAAACTCCTGCGAACTACCCATATCAAGAAGAAATTACAAAAACATTTCTTGCAACAGCTGGTCAGCGCAGCTGGCAACAGGAAGATATTTTTGCTCGTGAACCGGTGAGACAAATTATCATAGCATTGAACACAAATAATGCATTTCTAGGAACAAACCGAACGAATCCTTTTCATTATCAAAAATTTGGACTGGAGCAAGTTACTTTGAGACGAAATGGTTTACCAATAGCAAGTACACCAATCAGTACACAAGATCATAAGCGTCTCTTCTTCAACACACTATCAGCGCTGGGTTTGTTGCACTGCGGGCTGGGAATCACTCTGGATAACTACCAACAGCACTTTATTATGTGTTTTGATCTCACTAGCACACAGCAGGCAGCTCATGACTTCTTGCATCCAGAACTTACTAACTGCTCAGTTTCACTCGATCTTCAATTCTCAAACGCTTTGACAGCAAACCTGGAAATTTTTGTTTGGGGTATACGCTCATCCAATGTATTTATTACCTCCGACCGCAAAGTTACAAAGAACGTCCTTCCCATTTCGACAGTCTGAAAATGGATGAAATCCAGTTGCAGGACCTCATTCAGAATTGTAATCATCTGAAATATAAGTTTTTTGGAGTATTTGCAGCCGACAATTTTCCACCTCACATCCCAAACAACATCTTTATGATTGTGAACACTTCAAAATCAGATTCTCCGGGGACACATTGGATTGTGATATGCAACAGAAGAAATGTTTTATACTTCGCTGATCCTCTCGGTCTTCCTCTCTGGCAGTACACCAATCTGTATAAACGATTGAACGAGAATTTTCATCAAGTGACTGAATTGATGACAAACTTTCCCATGCAAGACTCAAACTCTACCATGTGCGGTTCTTTTTGTATTTATATTGCACATTTGATTTTTGATAAAAACTTTAATGGTGATGCTTCTGATTTTGTTTATATAACTGATCATGTTTTGAAACGTTTCCTAACTCACATGCGTACCCATTAACTAACCATTTAATATGGTTGATTTATACATTTTACAATTCAATTTTGAACAATACATTCTTTTAGTAATTGAAATTTTACCCAATTGTTAACTGAATAGCAGTAATTCGAGAAGTTAAGCTTTTTATCAAAGTGAGAAAAAAAGTACAAAATCGATCTATGGGGGGATATCACCATACCAGCTACTGTTGCCTCCTTTCAGTACAATTTCCGGACGGGTTTCGAAACGCCGCCTTTCGGCTGAGAGTCGAGCGCCATGCGTTTTCCTCTACTCGGACCCCAAGAAATTTTGTTCCACTTCAATTTTATAGTAACAAGTTAGGTACACGTCTTAGAAATGGTTGCAGCAAAATTAATGGGCACTTTTGGCTTTCATCAGTGTTCTCGTTTTTCAAGATCTTTAGCCACTTCAACCTTTTAGCTCTTTCAACCTTTCTATCAAATCAAAGTTTTTGTCATAGATTTCAGACGTTTATTTTTCAGTCTCTTGTAGACACGGAAAATGGAAATGTCAAAATTTTCAAGCCAATTTCATCATTTTAGAGTTTTCAGTGTTCCATAATTTTTCTTTGTTTTTACCTTCAATTGGCTGAACGAAATTTTTCATTCTTATTTTGGTCAAATTGATTATTAATTTTTGCCTAAATAGAGGTGGCGGCCGCCGCACTTGACGAATTTTGCTTTCTTCGAGATTCAGTAATAAAACATGCATTTTTGAAGGAAATCGTTCACCGCAGCCAACAGTTAAGCTACGCTGCCAAAATCTTGTGCTTTTCTATATACCATATAGTTTGGTCGCATATAATAGGTATATAACGTCATTTTACATGTAAACAAACCAATACCCCCAAACTTTAGAAGGGAAAACATGCACCGACCAAAACCTAATTCCATTCCCGTTTCCACAACGTTCAGTGGGAATACTCAATAATATACCGAAGTTTTACATGAGGACTATTAGGTATAAAATTATTTATGGTGACAATTAGGATTATTACATAGTGACCATTAGGTATAAAATTATACATGGTGACAATTAGGATTATTACATGGTGACCATTGCTGATCATTTAATACATGGTGACCATTATGATTTATACCTAATGGTCATCCATGTATGACAACCCCCCCCCGATCCTAACGCACTATATGCATACTACTACGATTGAAACTTTTCAAGTTCCAAATCCAGTTGACAATTTTGTCTCCATGTACTGCAAATTTGCTAAAAAGAAATTGTTTTCATAGATAGCCCATGCCCAGTTATGCATGTTCTCGTGGTGGTCCTGAATATGATCCGCAAATATGCTGCTGGTCTAACTATTTGCGCAAATAGTGCACAATAAAGCAGAGAGGCCAATCAGTGCTTCGCTCCATTTGCGATACCACATTAACAAAGCATTGTCAGCTAAAATGCAGACATTGAGATGGATCTATTACGTCGGTAGAAAAATTCACAAAAAAAACAAATATTTTCAAATTTGACACGAAATAGGTTCAATTTGAAGCAACCAAAAATGAGGGAAAACGCAATCGTCAGCATTGAAATAGCGTCCAGAAAAACTCAAAGGCAACCAAATTGAAAATCGGTGGGTAAACGTCAGTTGAGACAAAAACAAAAAACAATTGTTCACATGAAAGCCCGATGAGCAATAAAATTTTGGAATTGGAAACATACAACCACCCCCCCCCCCCCTCTTTTGGAAAGCACACAAAAAAAACTTATTTTCCTATCAAACAACGCAATCAAACATTAAAGAGGCCGAAATAGTTAAAGCCGAACAGACGCGGATCTAGGAATTTCTCGAGGTGGGGGGGGGGGGCGCATTTTCAAAAAAAAATTCAAAATTTCGTCTAAATTTTTTTAGATCGACCAAATTGATTTTCTGAGCTCTCCCAAACCATTTTAAAGACGTAATGTGACAAAATTTTCTGCGCCACAGGCAAATTTTTGAAAAAGGCCAAAAAGGCTTTTTTTCGGCGCCCGCTCCCCCCTCAAAATTAGTATATATTGGATTGGCGCCAAAGGCGCTTTTAGGAAAATTTTAAGGTCAGTCAGCCAAAATGGATATCTCAAAATAGTATATATATTCAACGATATATTGAGCTCAGGTTGATCCGCTTAAACTTCGAATAACAGTTGGGAAAAAAACTTGCCTACAAATTAGATATTTATTCGTGAATCATTACCAGAAGTATCTGTGCATTCCAGCGCATCTGGGTGTTTTTCCAGTTCCAATTTCAGGTTGCCTGTGTTGCCACTAATTGCATAATCGAACACGTCACAAACTGTTCTCTCTCCAATGCGATACAGCGCTTCGTTTGTTATCATATGCCAAGAGTATGCAACTAACATGCGTTTTTGGCGGTTCGGAGTTGAAACCAGTTCACGAAATGCGGTTTTGCATTCACCGATACTCGCTCCTTTTCTCACATTAAGGTTATCGTATGGGTTGATTAACTTAGGAATGCAAACCCAGGAACCACCTTTCGCTTGGTACCAGTATCTGTTCACATCTTCAAACTCTTCGTGAGGCGCGTAATCATCATATCGATATGGTTTCAATTGCTGAGTCAAATACGCCATCATTAACTGAATATTATGTTTACAAAACACTGATCTGAAGAAAAAAACAAATCGATGTAATACTCGTATTGTAATAGACGAAATATTAAATACAGGTACATGCAGTCCTAAAACACACACCCCGACCAGCTTCAACTAAAGAATTTATTCCGAACACATGCTTGAAAATCAGAGAAACGCTTCATCGTAACATCCAATGGAGCTAGCTGATAATGAGTGACGAGGCAGCGGTTCCAATTCACCAGCAAAAAAAAACATTTGATCTAAGATTACAACGAAAAGATCTTATACAGTGTGTGCCAACCTACCACCCTTTAAAAAATTCCATCTAATGATTTTTATGAGACGAAAACATGACTGGTTTAGGCCATTTATTTGTCTAATTCGATAAAAAACACCATGGCCAAAAGTCAGTTATAAAAGTTTCAACACAGAAGCGGAGCGGAGCTTCCCACCTTTTGCTACACAAAATTATATGCCAGTTTGACTAAAAACAGCGACATATTTCTTATTTCTCATTTAAGTTCAAAATATAAAAGAAAGATCTCGACATTTTCTTACACTTATGATTCATGAAAGCCCACATGACAAGAACAAACTAGGTGGATGAAACATGCGAATGGAGATTTTTTACGCCGTAACACTGGCATTCATATATTTTTCAAATGATTGCAACCAGAAGGAATCTTAATTTTAAACAAATGAAGATAAGACGCAGGGTGGGAGTTTTAAACGTTTTTTATCCAATTATACATTAAAACATGTTTTTTTAGGAAAAAAAAACACGTTTTTTATGTTTTTTTTTCGCGGCCACAATTTTTTTTGTTGATTGGCTTAAGAAAAAAATCTTTCGCGAACACTGAATTCAACAGTTGAATTGTTTGTACAAGAAAGTCATTTTCCCCGCTTTTTCGACGTCAAGTTGATTTCTCAAAGATCCGTAAGTCATCCCAAGGGTTGAAAACTGACGCTTTAGTCCACCACTCGACCCTATGGCGGAAACAAGGGCTTTAGCCAGGTTGACTAACTCTTCGTCAAACCCGAGATGAATACCGCTTGACCACCACGCTGTGGGCGAAACCGTTTGGTAACTTTCTGCGAACAGGTACCTACAGTAAGGTTGTTCGTAACCAAGATACTTTGTAACTTGTGGAAGACATGCCTCATTAACTGAGCCGATGTAACTCATTCCGGCTGCAACTTCAACCGGAAAATGGCGGCGGCAGTAGAAATATGTGAACTCATCATTTATCTACCAATCAGCGAGCAGGTCAAAACAACAGGCGATAAAAGTGAGGTGTGAAACTTCGAGCACTATTGCGTCATAACTTCAGCACTATTGCGTCATTAGCCGAAAAACGACTTTAATTGTCGATTTCAATCAAATTGTTTTAAACGTGTTTTTTCCCGCTGTTTTAAACAGTTTTTTAACCCTGTGTTTTAAACTGTTTAAAACAAAGTCCCCCACCCTGATAAGACGCCAATCATTACATACGAAGGGATTGCGCAGACAAAATAAAAATTTTCGAAAAATTTCCTATAAGAAATATATTCAGAAAACTAAATATCAAGAATCAAATATCAGCAAAAATCCTTGGCTTGCACTTACCTTTACAGGAATAGTATGAAAGACTTTTGAATGACAGCGAAAAACCCTCAAAACATAGTGTGACAGTAAAAAGCGCTCTATCACGCGATAAAAAAATTTACCTTTCCAAAAAAAACAGGGACGGAATGGATTCGACTTGCAACCTTTGCCGTCCCAAGCAAGAACGTTACCTCCACGCTAAACGGGCTAAATTGACACCACGAACTTGATAAACTAATAAAGTAACCAACAGTACATGAGCACATAGTTTCGTGCGCTAGTTGTTAACCTGAAAAAAAGGTAGTTGTTAACCTGCAAGCCTATAGAAGTTGAGGATACGAAAAACATTTCTAGAAGTTGAGGATACGACTCATGTTTTTCAGAACAATTTTTAAACTTTCGAACAAGAAAGATATGACCGTAGAGCTCTTTAAAACTCGGGACATTTTATACTGAAACCAATTAGGAGCTTCGCGCCGCCCAAAATACAGCACAAAAAGAGCAATACAAGCTCGAAGACATCAAATGAAAAGAAAGACAATCAAATGAACATGATAGAGGCGAAGATGAGCTTCGCACCACTTGCGATACAAAACAAGAAAGCCACTAGGTCGAAAAAAAAAATCAAAAATTACAAAAAAACTAGATCTATTGATAAAACTAGTTTTGAAACAAAAACGAGTCAAGACAATATAATATGAAAGTATAATCGAAAGAAAATTTATCAAGCGGTAACAAAGCCGGAAATACCTTAGCAGAAACCCTTTAGGCCGTAAAATTTTTTAAAAATATCAAATCAACAATCTCAAGCAAACAAACGCACACTTACACAAAGTTAATTCACCCGTCAAATGAAACACTATGCGGCCACGATGCCGATATTGATTTGGCCGAAACCTATTAAGCCGAAAAAAGGAAAATGAAAAAAAAAAACATTGCCGAAAAAAAATTAGACTAATAGAAAGTCAGTTAGTCCCCTCACCCTCAAAACACATACACAGCTAGTGAAATGAAGCAATATAAGGCGACTGAGCCGATGTAACATATACCGAAAACTATCAAGCCGAAATAAAGGAAAAAAATCACAAAATTTAATTTTTAACGAGTAATAAGAAATTATCAAGTCCCCCTACCCCTCAAAACACAGACACGCACAAACAAACTATTTTCGCCCATCTAAAGGCGCAATATGCAGCCATTAAACCGATATAATATAGGCCAAAACTTATCAAGCCCAAAAAGAAAACATAAAAAGCTGAAAAAAATTGTTGTCATGAGAAGCTTGAGCTATAATATCTATTCAAATTTTGAGCGATCTGGAGGTGAGCAAAAATATTGTTTCCCTTGTAACTACGCCACTGTAACTGAAAACTAAGCCGATATAAAATTGTACGAAGCCTATTAAGCCAAAAAAGGACAAAATAAAAAAAAATAACACAGGCGAAGCTGAGCTTCGCACCACTTGCAATACAACACAAGGAAATCGAAAAAAAATGCCGAAAAAAACTATATCTATAATAAGGAAGAATTCTAGTTTTGAAACAAAACCATGCCAAGGCAATAGAATGTGAAACTAGCATCGCAAGATATTTTACCAAGCGGTAACAAATACTTTGGCAGAAACCTTTTGAGCCGAAAAAACTCAAGATATAAGACTTGTGAAAAAACCTCTTGCACTCGAAACACTAAAAAACATTATTTAATAGTCAAACGAAACAATATGAGAAATCTAATAAAAAGCTATGTAATTTATTCAAGGAAACTTAAGGAAACTCTTATTGAAAAAAAAACGGTGAGCATTAAGCAGTTAAGTTCAGCCAAAAACTAACTGTTCAGGAATAACTTCACATTCGAAATGTAGTAAACAGCAACACTTTACACAGAGGCGAAGCTGCACTTCGCAAACACTCGCAAGAAAACGACAAAAAAGCAGTTCTATAAAGTGCAATAAAACAAAGTACCAACAAGCCTCGAATACAAAAAAATCGGCTTCATCTCGAATTCGATCTGCGACCTAGAGATTATGAGTTTCACGCACTAGCCACGGACGCTTAAAAAACCACAAACACTAGCCACAAGTAAAGCAGAGAACAGATGTTTAGAAATTTCCAATTCTACAGATCGTGATTATAGCAAAGGTACCACTAAATACGTGAATTTTTTTAATGAACTTTTATTTACAAGTTAGGCTGGCGAAAAAAAAGGTTCATCCTCGCAAGCTCGCTCGTAGAGTAATTAACAACATTGATTAATTTGTAATAATTAAAAGACAGTTGAACAAAAATAATAGTACGCTATTGTACTGTATGCATATGACAGCACAAGCTGAAAAATAACAAACATGTTATGGAAGGAAAAAAAAGTCTAGTATCCGGTTACAACACGCTGGCTATCCCAAGTGTGATAAGCCTTGCTGTGAAATTTTTCAACTGCATTGTTAAACAAGAAATTGACCAAAAATAAATAAACCCCGATTTGATACCGCTTACTTATCGCTAGCGTAACAATTGACAATTTCTTGACATAGATTGACCGCTCTACTTCGCAAATAAGAGCGAAAAACATCAAACGAAAGCTTCAAAATTGCAATGAAAACGGAAAACATAACCGCTTTGATACAGCGGGTAAAATTTAAGCTAGTAAATCGCCAAAATGAATTTGATCAGTACTCATATAATGAAACTGAACATCGAATTTGAACAAAAGTCGGGTTGGAAAACGTTACCTCGTGGTCTAAAACAAGCGTTTGCTTGAGTAAAATAAACTAACCCATTTCGCAAAAAATGCATCATTAGATATTTTTTCATAGTGCTGGGAAATCTAATAATTACAATAATTTTGAAATTAAAAGCATTACTCACATTTTTCGCGCCATTTGTACATTTGTTATTGGAGTTTACAAGTCTGATTCTAAATATATCGATCAAAACAAACAAAAATGTGGGCATTAATTTTAATGTTCTCAAATTAGGTTACATTGAGACAATTGATGAAAAAATTGCTTATATTGCTACCAAATTAATATGGTGCCTTATAGTTGGGGGAATTCAGACCCGAACTTTTAAACAAAAAAGCAGCACGACAATGTTAAACAGAGTTATCTCCTAAATTTTAATCTAAACAAACATTTTGGTATACAGAAGAGCGCAGCTTCGCGCCACTTGCGCAAAAACACGAATGTAATATGGCAAGCTAGCCGGAAAAAACTGCCGAAAATCACTAGATCGTAAAAGAGAAGTGAACATGACATCTAACAAAACTACATTAAACGAAATGATTGCCTCGGTTGAAAAAAATTATAGATAGTATAAAAGAGAAGTGAAAATCACATCTAACAAAACTACATTAAACGAAACGATTGCCTCGGTTGAAAAAAATTAAACTAAAAAAAATAACATCCTTTCTGAACAACATACTTAAAATCGGCAACGCAGAAATTTTGCAGTTCGCAAAAAAAGTGTATTAACTCCATCACGGGTTGTAAAACATTCGGCGTAAAGATTTTTTAATTAATACTTAGCTAACACAAAAATGAAAAAACATTTCGCAAAAACAAACAAAAAACGGCAAACGCAAGCTCTTAGAAACAAAATTGTAAGTAGAGAAGCCGAGAAAAATTTTCAAAAAAAAAAGACTGCCAATAAGCTGAAAAACAACTAAAACTTTCGAAATCATTTAAGCAGAACTTTTGACAACGCAAACATAGCAGCACAAAGAAAAATGAGAAGAAAACCGCTAAATCGAAAAAAGCTTTGTATCAAGCCGGAAAACGCTAGATCAGCCAAAATTTTATATCTTTAAATCAATTTGTCTGGAATAAACTTTTCTTAAAAAATCTTAACATGCCAAATAAGACAACTGAACGTTAAACTTGAATCGAAACAAACTTACGAAGCGGCAACAAGCCGACAATGCAAATAGCGAGCATAATAACTGCAGGTATAAAAATTGCGTGCCTATTAATCGACGAAGAAATTTACAGTTCAAAACAAAAACAATCAAAAATTTACCAAGTTTCAAAAAAATGCGTCAAATTTCTGCAAAAAAATGTTACTCATTTTTTTCACCAATGGCATTCACTTAGTTAGAAGAGAGGTGAATCCAGAATATAGTCAACAGACAGTTGAATAAGAGCCAATAACCGCAAGTACACAAAAACACTGACTTTATTGAAAACATCAAATTTCGAATTTCCAGAAAAATGGCCTCAAAGCTCTTGGAAATTCTAGAGCAAATAATGACAAAATTGATCAAATAACCCAAATTGAGAAAACTGGATCAATAGGTAAAGATTTTATTTCACTGGTGAATCTGAAAATGAAATTCCCACTTTCGAAATTAGAGGTCGATCATGTTTTTTGTGACCTTTACAATTTTGCCGTTCGATAGTTGAATTCGCCTTTCTTTGAACAATAAAATGAATTCAACTTAAAACATCAAAACATCACAGCGAAAAAGTAAAACACCGGGCCGAACAAATTTTTCTGAAAAAAAAAAACGAAAACATCATCAAGACCTTTATAAGAGTCTGAACTACGTTCATCGACTCTTAAAAAAGAGTCCTTGATACGGGAAATAAGCCGACAAAAAAAACGACGGACAATAGTCCAAAAAAAAACAGAACAATTATAGTTTGAAAAAACCAGAAGCGTTACGTCTACGCTTGAAGCTCTAGATGCTAGATTGAATTTATTTCAAGGTAAGTAGAAACACGTTTAACAATTTGTTGACACGTTTGACAATTTGCTAAATCTTGTGAACAAAGTTAACAGGGTAAAAAAAGTCTTGTACCCTGTTGCAACACCCTTGCTTATCGCAAGACTAAACATTATAAGTATGGGTCACCAAACTTAAGCTTCGATAGTTAAAAAAATACAAAAATATTAAATGGTTAGCAAGCCGGTGGCAAATGGGCCGAAAGCCCGTAGATTGTAAAAACATGAGAAAAATGAAGAAAAAAAACTCAATTTAACGAAACGATTGTCCCAACAAAAGAACAACTTGAGGAAAATGTGCCGGAAACCAGCGTTAAATTAAGATTGAGACAAAATGTGCGGTACGGTAATAAAGGCTTCTCCCGCTGGAAAACATCCTAATCTCAATGATAGCCATAAACTTTCAGTTGTATCGCAATATCGGAGATTATACCTTATTTTTCGGGCTACTAAGAGACTCTCTTTGATCTGGTAATCTGGTGCTTTCTATTAATTTTTGATTCATTAATTAGAACCGAAAATAGTCTTATTATTCGTTGCAAATTTCACTAACTAAACTGCCTTAAAATAATAATTCTATTCAAGATGCAACTTTTGTTCTTGAAAGTATTTTTGTCTCTTGTTACTTCTTTCATTGACTCAATTTGTCTTTCATTGACACTTAATCAAGGAAAAACCCTCATGACAGATGGTCCTAGATTTTCTAGCAGACCGGTATTTAGCAGACACAACCATTACCAGTCAACTTCAAACGCCAACTTCAAACCCGCCATTGCCAAGTCGCGACCGTTGGCTAATTTCGTATTTTCTATTTTGAAGCTGATAGTGCTGTTGACAAGCTCGAACCAAAATTAGGCGTATTTTTTACATTGTCAATCACCGATGCGTCAGCTGCAACCCCTTGTCTGGATTAAAAAAAACGTCCCATGTGCAGGGGCGGATCTAGGATTTTCTCGAGGGGGGGAGCGGATTTTCAAAAAAAATCGAAAATTTTGACCTTTTTTTTAGGTCGACCAAATTGATTTTTCGAGCTCTCCCGAAGCAGTTTTGCCCCTATTTGGCGCGCGCTCCCCCTCAAAGTTAGTATATATTGGCGCCTTTAGAAAAATTTTAGGCTCGGTCGGCCAAAAATGGATTTCTGAAAAAGTATCACAGGGGGGACCCTTTGGGTCGGCAGGGGGTCGAATCCCTGAGGGGGGGGGGGGGGGGGCGTCCAAACCCCCCCCCCCCCACATAAATCCGCCCCTGCCCACGTGATAGATGTATGTGGAGCAGCCGTGGCCGAGTGGGGTAAGGCGAGCGCCTCTCGTTACGAGAGTACTGTGTTCGAAGCCCACTTCGTTCGCGGTTGGAAGGTCCCAGAGTCATCCGCCTCCTCAAGGTGAGACAGACAGGCTACCTCAAAAAAAAATGAAAAAAAATATTTGAGAAAAAAATTTGAAATTTAACAATTACTATAAAAATAATAATGAGAAATAGATTTTTTTCTTTTCAAAAATCAGTGTTTATTCTGGATGCTTCCAGAGACCCATCTGACGCTCCGATTCCACCCCAAAAATATGACCTTCCAGAAGAAGCTAGTTTTCGAGAAAACGCCATTTTTGTAAAAATATGAAATTTTCCAAATACTTACAAAAATACTTGCTAATACTTACAAAAATACGCCTAAAAATAACGTTCTGTCTCAGTTAGTATATATTGCTTAGACATTTAATGGGCATCTAATTTGCCCTTAGTCTATCCTCTTCGGATAATACGTACCTTTAGCAAAATTTGATTGCTTAACTTGTTTTATTTTTTTTGTAAATGTATTTGTATGTCTGAAGAAATAAATTCTTTCTTTCTTTCTTTCTTTCTAAAAAGAAAGACGTCCCCCTCCACTACGGTTGATCCTGAATTGAGTAGGACTGAATGCAATACAAAAAGAACACATGACTTTCTGTGGTCGCTTTGACATCAATCGGGTTATAGCTAGGACATAGAGATCACAAAATTCATTTCATCAGCATACATACACTTTTCAAAACCCCTACACTTGATCAGAAACTTGTCTAGTGCTTGATTCAAGCGTTGTTTACAAGTCTATAAAACATCGATTAGAAGTCGATTTCTTTCTCATTTCGATTATATTGATTTAGCAATCCGTAAGATAATCAAACAAAGCAAATTTGATCTCGCTGATTTGACAGTCTAAACCTTGTAATTAATCAACCCTATTCAGAGATCAAAACACGTTATCTAAACTAGTTTCAATTGTATTATCGGCTTTTGACCGTAATAAATTAGACATGTATAAATCAACTCATAATACTGTACTACACATGCAGGTTGTTAAACTCCGTGGACAAAATAACAAGTATTGGGAGGAATTTCTCACGACAAAAGTCATTTTGTGAATCAACTGAACAAAGTTACTTGAACACTTACGAAGCCATTACTCTTATGTTCAAGCATACCAATAAAAACCAACGCGAATTTTCAACCATTTTAATCTAACGACTCAATAATCATTTCACAGTTCATTCACATATTATTTTAATATTTTATGTAAACAAAATAGAAAACGTTTGCATTTGAAAAAATTAATCGCTCGGACAAAATGAAGACCAAATAACAGATATGCCAAAAATAAGATGCTCTTTTGAATAGCAATCAAATGTTTAAGATTCTTGGCAGATTTGACACTTTTCATTGAGAACAGCTCTAAATATTGTAAATTTACTCCAAATCTCAAAGCAAAATCAGAAGAAGCAAGTTCATGACAAAGACTCTTAAGCGAAAGCATTTCAAATGAATTTCCTATCACGAGTTTTTCGTATCACTTGCATCATAATTAACAACTCAATTCAAATACAAAGAGAGATCTTATCTTGATCAAAAGGTATTACAATTCTATATTAAAATTCATACCGGAGAGTTGAAATGATCTCACCAGAAAAAATTTAATCTGAAAAAGCTTAGAACAGCGTTTAAGATCTTCGTACTTGAATTGATTCCGTTTTACATTTAAACACGTCAATCTTATCAGTCAAAACTGGATAATAGTATAGAAAAAGAGAAAGCTGATATGAGCTTCAATAATGAGAGATAGAACTGAGGATATAAGATGCTCTCATAAGAGTACGCATCCACCCGCTCTGTTATTGCCCTGCTTCCTTCCTTTCTGTCTTTTGGAGCTCTTGGTCTTCGTGAATTTGGACGGACTCAGTTTGTTTATCGTTCGCACAAGGTCGTAGAAAATCTTCAACAAAAAATGAAAAAATAAACAAAAATGAAGCAGCTTTTAGAAACTAAATTTACGGCATGTTAGGTATGCTGCTCGTTAATAAACGTTTGCTATTAATCGGGTTAATAAAAAATTCAAAAGATTTTATGCAAATAAAAGTTTTTCTCAATTAATACAAAACAAAACAAACAACAAATGTGGGATGAACCATTGAGGATTGAAAAGAGAGGGGGGGATAAAAGCGATCCTAAAAATGCGAGCTTAATAAGACTACATTTTGATGTCTCAAATTAGTTTGCTCACTTCACTTTCACAAAATCTTTCTAAAATTTTGAAGTACACTTTTCTAAGCCACATTGCTTCAATTGCCGACAAATAATTTGATACTCACTTACCTCATGCACGTTTATTTTATTCTTCGCTGACACTTCAAAGAAGTTGCAATTGAATTGCTTGGCTCGATTATTGCCCTGGTCCCTTCCAACCACTCTTTCACTATCGAGATCGCATTTATTGCCGACTAGAACCATTGCCACCTGTTCAAAAAAATCATGAAATATTTCGATTTTTAGTTTAATTCAAACCGAACTTAACTTTTTAGTTATGTCCAGTTTAAGAGATACTTCTAAGACCAACTATGTGATATCGAATGATAAGTGAAAAAAAAACGATTGGCATGAAAAATGTTTCGAGGAAATAATAATTTTAAAAAAACACTCACATCCTGAGAGTCTTTGACACGGGTAACATGCTCTCGAATATCCAGCAGCTCATTGAAAGATGCCTGGTTAACAATGGAATAGACTAAAAGAAAGCCTTCGCCGTTCTTCACATAAAGGTCTCTCATTGCAGTGAATTGCTCCTAAAGAACAAATTTTTAACACAAGCAACTTGGTAAAAATTATTTGAGATATTTTAAATTACCGTTCCCGCAGTATCTAATATTTCTAGCATGTACATCACACCGTCGACATCTACACTCTAAAACATCAATTTAGCGATTACGTTCTTTAACCTATTCCGTTATTTTGGTGCTTTCAAAATTAAAGATCAAAAAACAGTTAGCTTTGAAATCAAAATGACTTTTCAGACTTACGACAAATTGAACACTTCACATTGGTTCTTACCTTCCGGTAGCTATCTTCAATTGTAGGATCATATCTCTCCACAAAAATACCTTGGACGAATTGCACAGTCTGCAAAAAAATCATTAAGTTTGGTTAAAGAAATCAATGAGTTAGGTTGAAAAAGTTTGATATGAATAAACCAAGCACTTCACTCACCAGAGCACTTTTCCCAACGCCGCCGCTCCCCAGAACTACTAGTTTATACTCCCTGATCATATGACAAAACCTGAAAAAAAAAAACAATTTTTGAAAAACAGCAAGTATCCAACCGATAAATTTTTATGCGTTAAAATTCCAGTTTACTTTTTTTAACAGTATTCTGTTTGCCAACAGTATCAAGTTTATAAAAATTACACACAGAAGTAAAACGTAGCTTTGTACCAGTTGCAAAATATCACTAACAAAGGATGGAATGCAAGCCAACAAAAATGGAAGAGAAAATACATAGAGAAAATGTTCAAGAAAAAACGTGGAAAATTAGGACTACCAAAACTTTCAAATAGGTTTAAAATAGAAATTTTTGGTTAAAAAAAAAATTTCAAACGTTTTCGCAACTATGCGCATTGTCAGGATTTTTACAATAAACTAATCTAAATGATAATACATCAATTTAATTGTCATGGCAACAATCGACGCTATTCTTTATTGCACTGAAGCATTCAGAAAAGCAATAGACAACAACAAAACTGTAGCATGTTCCATACTGGATCTCTCTAAAGCATTTGATTCTATTGATCATACTTATCTTAAACAAAAACTAAAAGGGTTAAATTTTTCCGAAGAAGCTATAGAAATGATCAATTCCTTTATCACCAACCGAAAACAGAAAACAATTTCCTGCTGTTATCTTAAGTATTTTCCCGCAATTGTAAATTCGGTCGTTCTGATTTTTCACTTTGTGTTTTCAGTTGTTGCGAGAAAACTGAGCATGACAGGCTCCATTCGAAATTTTGAAAAATAAAACTTCACTCCAAAATCACGTATTTTCGTGTCCCTCAAGGTCAAACTTCCAGATATGACCGATTGGCACATACTCCCCGGACTCAAGAACGATGTCCTCATCGCGTGCTGCCTCTGTCAGTGAATCCCCAGAAACCCGAGTGTCACTCAAGATACAGTGCCAGTGGTCATTTACAGAAGTTTGCAGCAGACTTAAGTTTATCTACCTTCCAAAATTCACAACCATATAAAATTTTCACACTATCGCTAAACAGCAATCAAAGTCTGCACACACCTTGAATCATGTGCCAGTCGGTCATATTCGGAAGTTTGACCTTGAGAGAAGCAAAAAACACTTGATTTTGGAGTGAAATTTGGTTTTTCAAAATTTCGAATGGAACCTGTCATGCACGATTTTCTCGCGATAACTGAAAATCAGAAAAGAGAAGTCAGAACGATCGAGTGACAATCGCGGGAAAGTTGCTAGAAAAATCAGTGGGAAATTGCTATTCGCAATTTCAGTAGCAATAATAATCGAGAGTAGAGCTGTCCCATCTGAAACAGAGACGAGCGCATTCCCACGAACTGGATTGTTGTGACTGGAGTACTATTATTAACTGGACCAGAGTGAACCTTCGGTGGAAAGGTGGACAGCTAGAGTGTCCCAATGGTTCACGAGAACTTACAGTCTAGAGTAAAAACTTGTTCTTGTTATTGAAACTGACTAACATTAAACTCATTTAGTTACATTATTTAATTCTCGAGTTGATTACCGACTGAAGTACTTCCCTTTCTTGAGCGTGCCACAATGTGAGTACTAATTTAAATTTCTAGAGTGTGTTTTATAATTGTTATGTTGAGGTAAGGCGAGTTTTAGTTTGATCCATCTGAAATGGATCAAAGTTCCACTGTCTAATAAAAATAAACTTAACGGATTGTTCTAACCCGGTTTTTAACGGCGTTCATGTATTTTGGGTATCTAGAGACCTAAGTATGGGGACGTTTCTAATTCTAGAGTGGGGGGATATTTTAGTAGTAGCCTTTAAGCTGTAACGGGTCGTAGTCTCATGTCACAAACGAACCGAACTGGCTCCGACCGTTCTTGAGGTAGAAAAACACAAGAGATGGTGTCCCTGACCCTTGAGCCAGTGGTTATAGGGCCTATTTTTCTTAAGCCTCATGTGTGACTGCAGTAGACGAATGTTACATCAGGAAATTATCATGCAGCATTTTGATTTATATAATAGATATAGCATATTAATAACAATATCTCATTTGTTAAAATTTTTTTCGTGAACCCAGATTTCATCCAAGTTCACCCTCGAGCCCCCTCCCTCTCAAGACTCAAGACTCTAGAATTTCCTTTTGAGCCACCGGCTCACCTCGTGTTCTTCGCCCTCGAGGTACCCGACCCAGATATATTTGACACTGTGATCTGTTTCAATGGTGCCTCTTCATCATCGGAGCTGATCACAATCTCCTCCCAAGCCTTCAGCTGTTCATAGGATCGCATCCACTCCCTTTGCTCCTGCAATCTCTTCGCTTGATTCGGTAAGCTCTTCACCTTCGACTCCCGGTTCAAACAGAAAGGAATTGTGAAGACTCAGGCTTACATTCTTCGCCAGGTCCTCCTCTAGTATCGACTCCCTCGCTCTAGTGTTGTTTCTGGATACTCTACCCACTCTTTTCCACCCCGTCGTGATCGCATTTCGATGGGTCAGCAGAGGTCTCTTGAAGGCATCTGGTCCTATCTCGGCCTGGAACTGTCGATATTCCTTTTGATGTTTCCTCATGTGATCCTTCGTCGCCACGTATAACCAGGACGTCAACGTCGCGCGAAACCAAGGAAAGAACCTCAATCGGCTCCACATGTGTCTGACTTCCATTGGTATGTCGAATACCTTGCATGCGGTCTCGAACAACTCAAGTCTCCTGCTGTAATCTATCGCGTGAATCGACTCTGCCGTTGGCGTCTTCGATTCCCGATAATTTGCTATATTTTCTTCAATCCATCGTAGAGCCAGCATCGTGCTCACCACCAAGATGATCACCTTTTGCTGATGATTGGGCAGTCCCAACGACCTGATTTCTTCCACATTCCAGATCAGGCAGAGATTGGCGTGGTCTGGGTACCACACTGTCTGCGCCAGACAGTGGCATGGACAATCCCCATGTATGAGGTCGATGCTCCTAAGAGTGCGTTCTCCTGAGGCTTCTAGGAGAGGCTCAAGTTCCATCATTTTCTCGTGTATCACGTCGATCTCTTCCAAGTTTGGAGCACCAACCATGGGTTTCCCGATCACGTTTTGTCTCTCGTGGTCACTTGTGTTTTCGCCCTCCAAACCTAGAAGTTCTTCACCCCAGATTTCACTCAAGCCGTCCCTCTGTTCTTTCGGCACTGTTCCTCGGATCTTCCTCAACAGCTTGTGTGAATGATGCGACATCCGAGCCAGTCTTACGCATTTGGGCACTGAGAAGGCTTTGTCTATCAATACCCTTTGGCTGGATACTTCTACCATCGCCATGTGTAATGGATAGTGGCTGCCACATAGGTTGGCCATCACTGACCCCACTAGGGACTTCGCATATAGAGGCAGACCATAGGCTTCGCTCATGGGAAATCCCATCTCCGCTTCGAGTCCAACCTTCCAACTCTTGATGTGTTTCTGGGTCACTTGCAACACCCCGGGCCATGACTCCACGCTCAACGCGGTCACCAAGTGGTGTTCTGACTCTAGCCTCTCCAGTGACTGGAGACTGCACATTCTTGAGAAGAACCCCAGAGCTGTTGCTAGGTTCACCGTGGTACTCGCGTAACACTCAGTCACTATCTGTATCTCACTTCTCTCCCTTTCGGTAATGTCTTCAAACCAGGTGACTAGGTCTTCTTTCTGGAAAGACTGTATCCTGACGCATGATCGTCCATCGCAGGTGTGCTCGCCATTCTCACACGTCGAGTCAAGACAACTGCCCGGCTCCATTTTCCTCACCGACCCTAGTCCACTCGTCACTTCACTTGACTCCTTCACATGAGGCAAGATAAGTCTATGAACTATACTCAATGTCGCCAAATCTTCATCCTCTGTCGGCGCTAGTCTCACTCGCTCCGTGACTTCCTCGATCAGGCTCGCATGAGGATGTGGACACCAGGAGGGCCTGAGCAATTTCCACACCACTCCCAGATTCGTGGTCAACATGCCGTTCCCGTTACCCATTTTTAGTTCGACTCTTTTACTACTCTTTATTACTTCCGGTGTTTTCTCGAGAATCAAACCTAGACTAGGTCTCTCTCTCTCTCCACAGTGTCTATCTCCACTATCTTCTCTGTCCAGAACTTTAGTAGCTCCGCTACCTCGTAGTTTCTGTGGGCACCTCCAGCCTCCAAGTCCAAGAAAGGGTTGTATGCCATCCCCATCACTCCAGACACATACTGGTACTCTCCCTTTTTGTTGGGTTTCAAGTACTCTCCTGACGAAGCCTAGTTACGGTGTACGTCGTGTTTCTCCTCGAACTTCTTGTTGTAGAATCTCCGTATCTCATCTAACTTCCTGTGGCTCTCTAGAGACTGCCTAGAACCATCCTCCTTTTCTATCCCAGTACTCTGGTACACATTCAAGATGACTGCGGAGACTCTCTTTTCCAGCGTCTTGCTTCCGATTGCTCTCTGGTGACATGCTAGGATGGTACTATCAGTCATCATCGGCATTATCCACCTCAAGAAACAGGTAGCATCTTTCCTCCTTCCCAGTCTCAAGCCTGAGTTATCCCTAGCAACGTGTTGCATCAGTACTCGATACACCTCTAGATTCTTGCCATCCAATTTGAACTTATCGTACGAAGTCAGTGTCTCTAATTCTATTCCCAACAGGCTCCACGCGAACATCAGTTGTCCTGCGGTTCTAATGAAGGGATTTGCCATCAACGGCGATGCCGATGAGGATGTTCTCATCGCTTCTTCAAAATGATCCTTTAACAAGTTCTGCCAAGTTCTCTTCAGTTGGCTCCCCAATTCCAATTTGTTGATGTCAGCCTTCTGCTGGGTAGCCCAGTTGCGCCGTTTGCGTGACACTCCACTGTCGAGCTTCTTTAGGCAGTCTTCCAATTCCTGCAATGTTTCCAGGGCCACCCACCACGGTCGGGAGGTGTTCCTCGTTTTATTCTTCTCAAGAGGATCGCTAGTCACTTGCTTCCCAGTGGCCTGGTGTTCATTCGAGACCCATTCTTTGCCGACGTCCACTTCCCAGGTCTGCCCGCTTGTCGAACCTCGCTTCATTTTCGTCCTCTGAGGC